AAACCGCGAAGATATCGCCGTCGCTGCTGTCGCTACTGCTGCTGTTGCTGTTGATGGTTCGACAAAAGTCGCGGCCGCAGATAAGAATCCCGCGAATGTTCGCGGTTCGATATTGGAGCCGTGCAGCAAAGCGCCGAAGGTCGTCGGCAGCGAGACGCATGATCTGACTGACTCCGGATTGGGACACGCGAGTGTGTTTCGATCCGCGGTTGGTGCGTGCGTGCGTGCGCGCGTGTGTTTGCGTGCATGCGTGAGACTGGATCATTCGTAGAATCGCAAACGAGTCTCTCTCTCTCTCTCTCTCTCTCTCTCTTCTTTTTTTCTCGCGCCGAGAGATCTTGGTGGAGACTGGTCGCTTATTATTATCGCGCCACAACGATCGACTCTCAGTCTGTCACTAGTCTATCGACTAACTGGGAAACTGAATTGAAGTGAAACATGCGCGCTTGTATTTTCAGATCGAACCGTTAAAGATATATCTCCAAAGGAATGTTAAGACATTAAGACAGTATACGTCTAGCATAAGGCACATAAATCCCGGAATAAATATAAATAAAAATAAATATTGTTGAACGTAACGCGGAAGCCGCGATAAACTGATCGTGAAGAAAGTAGTGAGATCGAAGAATTTATAAAATTTGAGATACTGGGAAGAATAGCTGCGGAAAGAAACGTGCGACGAAGAAATGGAGACGACGTGAAGTGTCGAGTGTCGCGTGCCGATAAGATCGTAGAGTCGCGTTCGATTCGAGATACGGTACGATACCGGAGCGGACGATTGCAGCACTTGGAGCACTTTTGAAGACATGAAGACTATGTGAACACGTGAAGATTATGTGAAATGCGATTCTTTTGATACCACAGTGCCACAACCGAAGCACGATTCGTAAGCGAATTCGAAAGCTCGATCGTCGAGACGACTTTGTGAAAGCTTCCGTCGCGATTGTGAAATTATCAATTCGACATTATTCAGAGAAAACGCTCGAAGTAATTAATTACTCTATTACTCGGAGTGATTACTGAGTCTGAACAATTTAATTAATTTGCTTCTCAATGTTTCTCAATGTTTGTATCTATAATAGACATAACAGTTTCAATATGAATAAAAACAAAAAGGTTTTACGTATTATCTTCTTGCAAAAAATCATGAATAATTGCAAAAATAGTTTTTTTTAATAAACTTTTATGTGAATCATTAGGGGATTACTCTATATAAACTTTTTTTTTAAATATTGATACACACAACTGTTACTATATTTTTATTTACGCACGTACGAGATTACGCAAAAATATAAATTACATGTTTATAAATAAAAAGGTCAATTCTGTGAAACAGTTATATCATTCCGATAAATATCTGTTTTTTTATCATTCTTGCAGGTTTTTTTTAAACTCTATGTAAATTTCTAATAACAGTTTTACTGATTATCTTAACCAATCGGATTTAAAAATCATCATGATTAATGAAAACTAAACAAATTTTTTTCAGATAGCATAGTTAATTAGTAAAGTACACATGTAATAATCTACATTTAAATTATGGCTTACAATATGATCTGTGGGAATTAAAGATATGGAAAATTTTTTTATCTATTTACTAATATTTTTTATCTATTTATTTTTTTTATCTTTGAAATTCAATTTCTTAGAAAACTCTTCATTATCCATATTGTATATCGCTCGAAAGTCGTTAATATTAGAAGATATATAGATAAAAAATTAATATATAAAAAAAATATATATATATAGAATTGAGATTCATTTTTCTTGAGATAAACAACTTGCCGTAGTTTTTGTTGGTATTGCGTATACTCGCACACGATGTACACACATACATACATACATACATACATACATACATACATACATACATACATACATACATACATACATACATATCTATTGTGTGGGATGCGTACAAACTGCGTACGGTCGCGATCATGGATGACGGGCGCAGTTCGTCACAGCATATTAAATTAACACGGTCACTCGGAAGCACAGCAATTTTCTAAATTACTTTTAATTATTTTTAAATTGCATATCTGTTTCGCTCTTCACTGATCGCACGATTGCTTGTGAATTATGAATTTTGAAGAAAATGAGATATAATATGAGAAAGTTTTGTATTAAAGTACTAATGTTAATTAAAAATTGACATTAACTTAATTTAACTTAACATTAACTTAAATTAACTTAATTTAAAATATTCCCTTGCAATAAGATACACGCAATCTATTTATATTTTAGTACACAACATTATTTTTCATTTGTATTTTATATTAATTAATTTAATTTACTAATTTATTCTCAATATATCAATTCTCTTTCTGTTTGCGTGAGCAAGTTTTGAATACATATATACAGAACTTTTCTGGATTTCTTCTGAAAAAGCAATTCTTTTTTATTTTATTTAAGATTTACTTTATAATATTTTTTTATAAAGTTCCTGAGATATGATTCAATACATTTAAAAAATATCAAAAGGATTTCCGGAAAAGGAAATTTTAATTTATCATTAAATGAAAATTTTCTACTTGAGAACTTATTTATCCAATAAGCTTTCTTGTAATTAAGTGTGCAATAAGCTTGTGTAGTAAGCTTTCTAATGTGTAATTTTCCGATGAAATCATAATTTCAGTGTTTGTTTCCTGAGAGACTTATTTAAATTTCATTATTGTTACATTGTTTTTTTTTGGAGAAATGTTTTATAATCAAGTCTTTTCATTCGGTGTGGAGTTTTATTGGAAAAATTTGTTAATCAAACGAACAGTCTGCTTGGTTCGTAACCTTCGGTCGAAGATTTCGCAAGGAATTTAAAATTGAGCGAATAACGAATGAATTGAATAATCGGTCGAAAGATGCGACTAATGTAAGCAAGATTTAAAAATAGTCATCTTCAGTGATTAATTATTTGATGATAAATATTCATGAATTAATTTCATATTATTTTATTATGAGTATTAGTAAAAAATTTTGTCGTTACTCATTCTTGTATTCTCCATACTATTTATTCCGACTCCTACAATTAATAGATAATGAATCATTTGATTTTTAATCATTTAATTTCAATAATGAAATTTAATGACAAGTACGTGATTATATTTTTGTATTAATTAGTTGAATTAATTTTTTTATTTTTAACCTATAATTTGATTGATTTTATAAATATAGTACCTATATATATTACTTGAAATATTTAGTGTGTATTTTCTGTTAAATATCACATTATATTTATTATTTTTTACATGATATATTTTTATAGTATTTTAAAAATTTTTCTACAAGAATTTAATATTATAAGTATTTTTATTATAAGTATTTCTCTTGAAATTTTCGAATAAATAGTTATAAATATATGTATCTATATCTAACTTTGTCAAGCTTGAGAAATTTATGTTTTGCTATTTCCGAAACCTTATACTATATTGAGGCATAAATCAAAATAATTTTATAATTAAATTAACATATTGAAATTTTAATTAACACATTGAAATGTTTTTGCTGATGTAAAAATTTATTCCTGTTTCTATTAAAATTTGAATTAAATGTGAAGATTTATTATTAACTTTATTTTTACTACTGATGATAATCACAATAAATAATTTATTATAACTAAATCAGAAACTATATATATTTTTATATTAAAATTTTTATTTTGTAATATAGTTATAAAATTTTCATAATTCTTTACAGAAATACAACATTTTATAAAAACTGATTTTGGAATGTAATTATTTTATATATATATTATATATTTTAAAATAAAATAAAATTTTTTAATATATGAGCAAAAAATTCGTTACAGTAATATTAATTAATAGTAATAGTAATAGTAATAGTAATAGTAATTAAAATTAATTGGAACTTTATTTTGCGTGTAATGTCCAATATGATCAATGTATTGGTAATCGATCATTAAATGACGATAACGCCATTTTTATTGTCTCGAGAACGTGGGTTATCATAAAGAGTTTTCAACAATCTCTACTTCAAACATATTTGTTCTTCATGATGTTTTGCAAGACTTTCTATAATACTCTTCTTTTATCAATAACCATTGTTATTAAGTGAAGTAAGACATTTCTTGATCTGGTTCATGAATTCTTGCGGAAAGTTTATGCTAGAATAGTGTATGCGTGATATATTTTCTGTGAAACAATATGCAACTTTAATGAAGCAACTATCGAGCGATAAAATTGTCAGCAACAAATTCAATACATCATAGTGTCAGATATCAGTACATAATAAGCAGAAAACATTCATATTTAGCTAATGATAGCGCACTTAACTGGTAAACACTTTTGTGCAATGAGTAAAATTGTTAACACTGTGAATTATTATGTAAAAAAAGATCTTTACTTGGAGTTATTGTAACGCAAAGACACAAGTCATTGCATCAAAGTTTACGATTATGTATTCAATTATGAAAAATAAAATTTATAAGAAAGATGCTTACTATTCTGAAAAATTTTTAAAAATATTTGTTATAATATATTTATTGTTAATTTAAAAGTATTTGTACATGTGTTTACATGTATAAATTATCTACTATATTATGTAATTATGAATGCCTTTTACATGAAAATATATTTACGCAAGTGAAGCTCTTTATGAAGCTCTTTCGTTATGCAATCAAATTAAAAGATGACTAAATGTAAAGTGAAGCATGATGCGAAGGTCAAGTTTTTGAATCAAGATAAAATTCTTAAAGATAAAAATTGGTTATACATTTGATTCTTTAAGAAATTTAATCAAAGAAAGAATAGATGTCAAAGATGCGGTAATGAGCTCTATATTGTTGTGATAATGAGCTCCAATTATTAACAACATGAAACTCATTACCACATCTTTGACATTCGCTCTTTCTGAGACTCAATCTCCTAAGAAATCAAACATGTATTCAATTTTTATCTTTAAAATGTTTATTTTATTTTAAAACTTATTCTCCACATCATGCATCTAGTTGAATCATCTCTTAATTTAAATTGTAGAATAAGAACATAATTTTAGAATTTCACTTGCGTAATCTAGAATACATGATATAATACATATTATATAATTTTATTGACGCATTAAAGAGAATTTAAACTCAAGATCGAAATATTTGCATATATTTGTTATATTTTCATTGTAATTTCATAATTGCACCATTAGTCATGCATGCTAATAAACACATTAACTTTTTTCCTTGATTAAAATTCAGATTAATTTGCAGTAGTATCATATAAAACCTATTAAAATTCTAATCTAAATAATTTTAAGTAATATGGAATAATTTTTATTAAATTAAATTTTATTAACGTATGATTATAATACGCATTTCTTTTAAAAATTAAAGAAAATATAATTCTAATAAATGAACAAAAAAATGTTTACATGTGTATATTTTGAATGAAAGCAATATTTACATAAGAGTTTATTATAAAAATCTTTTGTATAATTTTTACATTTAATAAATGTTTATAAGAAAAGATTTTAGTTTAATGAGATCATCTTTAGAGCTAAAATTTATATTTGCTATTATTTATTTCAGATTCACGACAGAATTAATTCTCTAAGATCAAGAGAAATTTGTTGATACCTGAAGAAATAGAATGTGAAGAAAGTTCAATTAATTAAAAAGAATTTTTTTCGGACTATCATACTAAAATAAAATAGGGAGAAACTTTTAATAAAAATTAAGAAAAACTTTAACAATACATCATGGCTAATATCGGGCGAATTGTGCCCATTCGAATAGAGAAACGGACACTGCAACACGTCTCGATTCCAAATCGCTCGTCTTTGAGCTCTTTGGAAGAAGATTACGGATCAACTGAATCCGAAGATATGTCTACCAGTCCGGACACATCTTGCCGCTCGAGTGCGGACGCGGACAAGAACTTCAATCTCGACGAAGACTTCCGCGAGAAACTGACCGAAAATATAATTGAAAAAATGGAAAATTTACGATTACGACGTAATGACGATGAAGATGAGGACAACGAAGATGCCAACGAGAACTTCGATAGGACGCGTTGCATCAATAACGAAAATGTGGACAATGTGGAGTATCGAGACAGTTGTAAGTCACAAACGGGTTGTCATACTGATAACGAAGACATAAACAACAACGAGAATAACGTTACGGCTGATGACAATGAAGGCTGCTTGCCACTTAACATATGCGATGAGCCTGAAGATAAGAAACGATTGTATGATGAAAATTCCCTGGATGACGAATCAGAAAATGAACAGGTGGAAAAGCAGGAAAGCGAAGATTCCGATGATTCCGATTTAATCGAACGAGGACCGATAAAGCCTGATTTCCAGCCTTTTCGAAGACAGCCTTATACCATGAACTGGCTTTCGCATTTCAATGATGCCGCAGATGCGGCAATGGATTACGATAAGACCGCCAAGCAGATTTTGAAAAATAAAGATTATAGTGAAAAGCTGAATCCCTGTTTAGATCAATTATCGAACCGAAATCAGATCTTCGAAGCGAATTCAATTATGGATTCTAATTGGATCGCGGAGAATGGCGATATCCATAGCGAAATTTCTAGTAATAATGTAAGTCTTATTAAATTATTTTTTTGTTACATCGCACTAAAGACAATAATTTTTAAAGATGATGAAATTAAAACATGAAGAATTTAATTAATTTTTTCAGATA